TTAAAACTTTTAAAATCGTATTATTTTAATAAATTTTTATTAAAAAGTTAAAATAACTTTTTATTTTAAGCAAAAATAAAAATATTTTAATCTTTTTTAGGATAATTTATTAGAACAATATAATTTTATAGTATTTTTCATCTTAATTTTTTAAAAGCTTTGCTAGTAAACACCAATCTCAAAATATATTATATATAAAAAAATGGCACGTATTAAAAGTTTGGTAATTTATAGCCTAAACAATATTAAATTATAATTGTAAAACAATGACAATGAAATCGAGGGAACTTCATCCCATAATCTAAGGCTCTTATAATGATTATTATTTTGTAGTTTGATTTAATTTAAATTATAAAACAATTTTTATGTATTAATTCTTTATTTAATAATAAATCATACCTTATCTTTCTGATAACAATTGTTTAATAAAAAATCCTCAAGTGGTTTTTCATGGGGCAAATTTGGATGTAAGAGTATCACTTATTTTTTAAAAAAATAAAAAAAAATTTTTTTTCAACAACCCTCTTTTTTTATGCAGTCGATCTCTATTGAGATGGCTAAAAGAATATTGGTTTAAGATTTAATTTGGTGCCTTTTAGATGATTTGCCAGAGAGAGATACCTTTTTTAAGAATTTATTGTTAATTTGCTTTGGATAATCCCAATGATTTTACCAATATTGTGAATTTAAAATTAATAGATTCTAAATGAATCAAACGAAATGCAAATTAAAGTAAACTTGATGTTTATTGCATGAAAGGAAATCGAATACGTAATTACATGAACTAATTTAGTTACTTGAATGTTGAAAACAACATAAATCTATTAGGATCTGTTCTAAAATTGAAATTTGTAAGTTAAAATAAGCAATTACTATGAAACTAGAAAATTAAAAATTTAAGAAGTTTTGTGTAGGATTGGTTGTTGTGTGTTAAAAAATCTGAAACTTTCTTTTTATACGCTTCTTGCGAACTATGTCTTCCTGCTTTACCCACTTGCTGTTATAGATCATGAATGATTTCTCAAAAAAAATGGACACATTAGCGGGACTAGATTAAGGCTACATTTGATCTTACCACCTGTGCTATTCTACTGTTATCTCAACCCCTCAATTGTATTTCCTCTTAAATTA